ACATTAGGTGTCAAAATATCTAAAATAAAACCCGACTACACTACAAAGGGAAAAAACTGAATCCACTGTTACATTTGGAGATTTTAATATCCTTCTATCAGAAATGAAGAGATCTAGCAGAAAAATGAAAAAATAAAAAAATGATAAGGAAGCCAAGTGCCAGTGGCTCACACCTGTAATTCTAGCTACTCAGGAGGCTGAGATTGAGGATCGAGGTTCAAAGCCAGCCCGGGCAAGAACGTCCAAGAAACTCTTATCTCCAATAAACCACTCAGAAAACCCGAAGTGGTGCTCTTGCTCAAGTCGTAGAGTGCTAGCCTTGAACTGAAGAGCTCAGGGACAGCACCCAGGCCCAGAGTTCAAGACCCATGACCGACAAAAAAAAAAAAAAAACAATAAGGATAGTCTGGAATTAGTGGCTCATTCATGCAATCATAGAAGGATGAGATCTGAGAATTATTTCAGGATAATCTCATCTCCAATTAACCAGGATGTGGAAGTATGGCGTAAGCAGTACAGTACCACCAGCACTGAGTGAAAAAAGTGACAGCATGAGAGGTCCTAAGTTCAAGGTTCAGTATACGCATGCACACATACATACACAGGAACATAACTGAAATCAACATACCAGCACATCAACTGGATATATAATAACATCTATAGATTATTTCACTGATCAATATCAAAATATACACTGTTCTTGGAACATTCACAAAGACAGACTATATTCTAGGCCATAAAATCTAAGTTAACAAATTTAAAAGATATCATAAAATGTCTGCTCTCAGATCATAATGCAATTAAACTAGAAATCAGTAACAGAATGATCAGTAGGAAAATCCAAACATGTGTCTAAATAACATACAGATCAAAGAAACCTCTAGAGAAATTTTTAAATTATTTTCAACTAAAAATGAAAATACAATAGGTCATAATCTGTAGAATAAGTCAAAAATAGTGTTTAGAGGAAAATTTTATCTTGGATAGTATTATAAATAAAACTGATTTCCATTCTTATTTAGGTTGTTCACTGATTTTTTTTAATACAGCTGACTTTTTTTCATCATGGATCTATACTACAAATGTTTACATAGGTAAAACCGTTCCAAACTTTTTTGTTAATTCATTTAAGTTTTTATATAAAAGTATGCCATCTGGGAGCTGGGAATGTGGCTTAGTGGTAGAGTGCTTGTCTAGCATGCATGAAACCCTGGGTTCAATTCCTCAGTAACACATACCCAAAAAAGCCAAAAGTGCACTGTGGCTCAAGTGGTAGAGTGCTAGCCTTGAGCAAAAGAAGCTCAGGGACAGTGCCTAGGCCCTGAGTTCAAGCCCAGGACCAACAACAACAACAAAAAAAGTATGCCATCTGAAAATAAAGATGATTTTACCTCTTTTTTTCCCATTTGAAAGCATCTGCCAAAGTACTTCAGTTTGAAATAGAGCACACTATAACATGCCAAAAGTATGCATTTTTCTCTTGTTCCCAAAGGAAAATTTTCCATTATTCATTAAAAGTATATCAGATAGAGGTTTGAACATGATCCTGACTGTATTGAGGACTTATCAGGATAATTTGTCAGAGAGGGGTTTTGAATTTCTCCAAATACTTCTACTCCAATTAAGATGTTTCTGTGGATATTTTTTTTCATTCCGGCACATACATTATTGTGGTATCTTACACTGATTTTTTTTTTTTTTTTGTCAGTTGTGGGGCTTGAACTCTGGGCCTGGGCGCTGTCCCTCAGCTCTTCAGCTCAAGGCGAGCGCTCTACCACTTGAGCTACAG